CTACCAAGTAAGTGGCAAGTCCCACTCGTACTTTTACGGTCTAATTTGCAACCGGCAAAGTCCGAGTCGGAATAACCAACGAGATGACAAGAAGAGCCTTTTGGATACCACAGTCCAACGTTAACCGTGCCGACAAGGTATTTCATGATCCGTTTCACCGCGGTTAAGTGCGATTCCTTCGGACATGATTGATACCTTGCGCAAAGGCATACGCTAAACATGATATCCGGCCTACTAGCGGTAAGATAGAGAAGGGATCCGATCATACCTCGATACTTTTTGACCTCTACTTTCTTACCTTTCTCGTCTTTGTCAAGATGGTCAGACGTGCTCATCGGGGTTGCCATGGCTTTGGCGTTGTCCATTTCAAACCGTTTTAGGAGCTCCTTGCAGTATTTAGCTTGGCAAATGAACGTTCCATCTTTCATTTGCTTAACTTGGAGTCCCAAAAAGAATGTGAGCTCGCCCATCATTGACATTTCAAATTCGCTAGTCATGAGCGTTGAGAATTCCTTGCACAAAGACTCGTTAGCAGCACCGAATATAATGTCGTCTACATAAACTTGAACCAAAAGGATATTATTGTTTTTACTCTTGATAAAAAGTGTAGTGTCAACCTTTCCCCTTTGGAAACCGCTATCCAAAAGAAATTTACTCAAACGTTCGTACCAAGCACGTGGTGCTTGTTTAAGAGATTTTTATGAATTAAGTATTTTTGAATATGTAAAAGAGATTTTTATGAATTAAGCCTAGAGAGCCAAGATTTGGAATTTTGTGCCGGTCTTGATCACATTAAGACCGACTCAATATAATTCTAGTTCTTTGTTCTTGGTTCTGGGTTCTTGGTCACTTTAGCTTCGCCGCAGTTTTGCTCACTTTAGCTTCGATATATCGCGGCGGTTTGCATTATCAAAACCTGTCATAAACGAACACAGTTTAGTACGACGAAGGCGTAAACCCGTGTTCCAACATTTTCTTGTTTGGTTAGAGAAGAAAAAGAAACAAAACTGTGTGGAAAAGAAAATGAAAAGGTAAATTACACATAAAGTAGAGAAAATCAAATCCTTTCATTTTGGCAAGGAAAATAAGGGAATCTCATTTTCTTTTCTTTTCCTTACTAATTCCTTGAACCACACATAGTGTATGGGAAGATCGAGTATAGTTAAACTGGATTCCCCCCCATAGTATAAAATGAAGAAAGACATGAGACAGTCTCTCTAAAGATAAAAGAGTAATTTACTTAAATAAGATTAATACATAATGACTTTCTCAATATAGGACTATATGTTTTTATTTTCCAATGTAGGACCATTGGTCATTATCTATTAGTCATTATTCAACTAAATGTCCAGCATCACTTAGACATTATTCTTCTCACTAGTCATTATTAAGTCATATTTAAGGAATAAAAAAGTTTAAGTCCTATATTGAGAAATGACTTATGTTTTAGTTTTATTCAGTGCAAATTTCACAAGATAAAATTATGATCATATCATGATCTAAACCTATACAATTTTGTGAGGCCGGAGTGTGTGGGGGACCGGGACGGGCGTTCCACCTTTTTTTGTGGATGAAAAAAAAAACTTTTTTAGATAAATAAATACTCGTAACAGACATAGAAGGAAAAAGATGGGAAATGGGCATATGACAATTCACACGGCACCGAAGAGGGGAGGGGCTCTTTCATTCCCCCATTTCAAACACATCAACAATAGTAAAACTTTGACTAGTCTTTCTCCTTCATTGTCACTGCTAAAAGTTTAAGTAGAAAGAGAAGGTACTGAGTGCATTTTGTGTGGGTATATAAATTAGAGCACCAAACTCAATAAGCTCGTATTATCATATCATAAAACAAACAAACATACACATACAGATATGGAGTCTTCAATATCAGTAATATTTCACCTATACATACAGGTGGTGGTGCTGGTAGTGTTGATTTCTTCATCCTCATCTCATTATTCATCTTTGGAGAAGACGAGACGACGATGCCACGATGATGAGAAGGTGGCCTTGCTCCAATTCAAGCACAGCTTTGCCAGCACCAACCAATGCCATGGTGGTTGGAGTGATGTTCATCAAAAACCAAAACTGGAATCATGGGAAGAAGGGGGCGACTGCTGCTCCTGGGAGGGCGTGGAGTGTGACAAACAAGATAATCATCATGCCGTGGGTTTAGACCTGAGTGGGAGTTGCCTCTTTGGTCCCATAAACTCCAGCAGCTCCCTCTTCACCCTCACTCACCTCCAGAGGCTTGACCTCTCCTACAATGACTTCAACTCTTCTCACATACCCCCCGCAATCGGAAACCTCTCAACTCTCACTCATCTCAACCTTGCCTATTCCAACTTTTTTGGCCAAATCCCATATCAACACCTCTCCAATATCACAACCATGGTTTCCATCCATCTGTCTGATAGTTATAAGGTATATGGCGACATTTTACTGGGATTGGAACTTCACAGTCTGAAAGGACTAGTTCAACACATGAGCAACTTGAAGCATCTCCATCTATCACATGTGAACCTCTCTTCTTCCCCTCTACCAGCTGACCTCCTCTCAAACTTCTCATCTTTAGAGTCTCTGGATCTTTCTTCATGTGAGCTGAAGGGTGAGTTTCCCGTGGCCATTTTCGATCTCCCAAAGCTCAAGATGCTCGATTTAAGTGAGAATCGTGATCTCAAAGGCTATTTGCCCAACATCCGTTCGGGGAGTCCTCTTAAATCGTTGCGGCTCTTTGATACAAGTTTTGGAGGAGTGGTGCCTCCCTCCATTGGGAATCTCTCCTGGTTGGAAGAACTAGGCATTGGCGGTTGCACTTTTACAGGGGACCTTCCGATTTCACTCGGTAATCTTACCCAACTTGTTTTTTTGAGCATTTGGGATGGTAATCACTTCACCCCAGATACTCTCAATACTTCTTCATTGTCGTGGATTGGTAAGCTTACCAAGCTCACTCGTTTGTTACTTGAAAGCTTGGACTTGACGGGTAAGATACCTTTTTCGCTCATGAACCTCACTCGACTTACTCACCTATTTATGTCTAATAATCGACTTAGTGGTGCCATCCCAGCTTGGATCATGACCCTCCCTCAAATCAGTCTTATTGACTTGTCTCACAATCAACTAAGTGGCCATATCCCGACCAATTTTAATAACCTAATTCAAACATTGGAGCTTTCCTATAATAATTTAGAAGGTTCTATTCCTATAAATCTATCCACTCTCCCTGACCTTTCGACTCTCTCTCTTCAGCATAACAGATTGTTTGGCTCGGTGGATCTAAGCTTGTTCTCTCACCTCCAAAATTTAAATGAATTAAAATTGTCATATAATAACTTGTCATTGAGCCTAAAAAATATTAGTTCAACAAATGACTATTGCTTTCCAAGTTTACAGTTTTTAGAATTGGCTTCATGCAATCTACTTGAATTTCCCACATTCTTGCAGAACAACAAAAATATATTGCAAGATCTCGATCTTTCTAATAACCGTCTGAAGGGTCAAATTCCTCCGTGGATTTTTGATCTCGGTAAAAATTCGGAAGAGGGTCTCTATTTGAACCTCTCACATAACCTTTTAAATGGTTTTGAACGAGAACATCCTCTTTTTCATCCTCGGGTTAATATAAGAAGTTTAGACCTCAGAAATAATAAATTACAAGGACCTCTCCCAATCCCACCACCTTATTCCTCCACTTTTTCTACTTTTCTAATTTCAAACAACAATTTATCGGGTGAAGTATCACAACTAATTTGCAAATTCAAATCCCTTATGCATCTTGATCTATCTTTCAATAGTTTGGGTGGAAAGCTTCCCCAGTGTTTGAGCCATTTTAGCAATTCTCTTTTGTTGCTGGATTTGAGAGGAAACAAATTTGAGGGAAACATTCCGTCAACATGGAGAAATGGATGCCAACTGAGAATGATCGATATGAGCCAAAATCAATTGCAAGGGCAATTGCCCAGGTCATTAGCCAACTGTTCATTACTGGAATTCATTGATTTTGGCAGCAACCAAATATTTGATACTTTTCCAGTTTGGTTAGTTACAGCAAGTGAGTTGAGAATTCTTATCTTGCCATCTAATAGTTTGCATGGTGTCATTAATGATGATTTTGGTTTCTCAAAGATTCAAGTCATCGACTTATCCAACAATAATTTTAGAGGGAAGCTCCCATCAATGTTCATTGATGCGCCGAATCCAATGAGAGCCCTGAATGTAAGTCGCAGACTTGAATACATGGAGCAAGATTTGTATCCACATAGCTTTTCTGAAGAATTTGGCTCATTTGATTACTCATTTACCATGCATAACAAGGGTTTGGAAATGAACTATAAGAAGATTCCAAATATTTTTTGTGGCGTTGATTTCTCCTCCAACAATTTTGAAGGGCAGATACCCGAAACATTTGGAAATCTCGCAGCGCTTCAGCTACTAAATCTTTCTAGAAACTACCTCAGCGGTCAAATACCGTCTTCTTTCTCCAACTTGACAAGTTTAGAGTGTTTGGATCTTTCCCAAAACCAACTCACAGGGCACATTCCTCTGGAGCTAACAAAACTCACTCCTCTTTCATCATTTAACGTGTCATTTAACAATCTCTCTGGCCCCATACCACAAGGAAATCAGTTCTGTACCTATGACAACAAATCTTATGAAGGGAATCCTGGATTGTTCATTGAAACTTGGAATAAGCAGTGCGGAAATGCAAGGTCTTTGCCTCAACAGCAGCAACCTCCACCCACGACAAGTGATGGTGATGATGATGATGATGATTCAGAATATGAGTTTAGAATGAAGTGGATAATAATATTGATTGGATTCGTCAGTGGTTTAGTGGGTGGAGTGATAGTTGGGAATGAATTCACCACAAGAAAACACGATTGGTTCGTCAAGACTTTTGCAAGGAAACGGAGAGGGTAGGCATAAGAGGAGAAACATACATACACTATATATATGCATTCTCAGTTGTGTTTTGAAGTTGGACACAGAAATAAATGGTGTTGTATCATCTGTTACCGTGTATTTTATCATTAATTATCAAGTGAAGCAATGTGATCTGTGTGAGAAAAAAAGAAGCAACTTTTTTGTGTGTTTCATAACTATGAAAACGCTCATATAAATGAGACAGATTGTTTTCCTCCCGTATGTTCTTTTGCCTATTTTTCAGTTTGTTTTGTTTTTTCTTCATTCTGTTAGTCAAAGGAGTGCTTTAAACAATTTATTCAGTAGAGTTGGTGTGCTTGCTAACCATGAAAAAGCTCTAGTGAAAACAATGACTACTCAAACTCTTCAGGAATTCAGAGGTTTCCCATTGAGTTTTGGCAGGATTGAGACTGTTGTGAAAATGAGTCATGTTCTTTATACTCAGTTTCTCACCATCTTCTCATTTTCTTCTTATATGTTCTTAGGCTATGCCTTCTTTATTTCTTTCTTTTGGTAACATTTTGGACCATTTAGATTGCTCATCTATGGATTGATTATGTGTGGTTGGATAGGATTTTGTAGAAATATATAATCTCTGCAATTTTTATTTGCCATTAATGAAGATTCAAACCCAGTAAGCTATAAGCAACAATTCAATCTTAAATATCAAATAATTATTGCCCATGAATTCAGAAAATTGTTGCCTAATTCTGAAGCAATTAAGACGAAACATACATAAATCTGAACATCACTTTTAACGCACAAAGAATCACAATTTCTCAAAGATCTTTGTTTGATTATATGCACAAAAAAAGACATCACCCTAAAACAATTAGCTCTGTTCAGAATTTAGATGGAGACAAGAAGAGCTGCCATCAGCTTCCATTCCCACATTGGAACTCGAAACATCGGATAAGAAATCGGAGATGGAAGCAGTTCGTCTTTGTCACTGGTCAGTGTGCCCACCTGAGCTAATTAAAGTTCTTAAATACGGAGTTTGATTGGTTCTAATGGGTAAGCTTCTGTACTTTATAAGCTTGATTCATTTTAATTAAATTGGTGATGACTTTGGGAGTTTGGGGTATATATGCATTTTTTCTTCATTTTGTTACTTGAACTAGAATCATTCTGGTGCGTATTGTCCAAGACAGTTATATTTAACTTTATACATCAAAATCATTTTAAAAAGAGCATAAAAATGAATTTGTAACATTTTTTTAGGATACAATACAATTAAGGACATAATACTTTATAGATAAATAACTGACAAATGAAGCATGAACATTTTAATACCCTTTATATACTTCATAAAAATGAGACTCCAATCTCTAGAATGTTGGTATGTGATGTTGCTTATTTGCCTTTTTTAACACCTAATTTATGACATGGAAATTTAGAAATTAATTTGGTATGAGCTCACCGAGTAAATTTAAGTATACAATATAAATCTTTATTTTTATAATAATATTTTTTCTTCATTCTGTGTCTTTTTTCTTCTTCATGTACTCCGTATAACAAAACATTTAAATAATTAATAAGATAGACTCTTTACCTCTAAAGAAAATTTTATACTCCGTATTTTTTATTTTAAATTTAAAACATTTTGTGATGTCCATAATACTTTTACGGGTTTGAATGATTTTGTAATTACAAAGGAAGCAAAAAAAATTAATAAAAAACTGTCAAATATTTTTATATAATATGAACAGACTTGATATTAAACATTAAAAAGATTTAGAAAAATTGAAATCTAAATTTTTTTTAAAAGTGATGGGAAATAAGGGCAATGATTAGGCTTACTAAGACCCGAGAAAGACGATGGAAAGAATAAATTGGAGTGAATTTGGTATATTAGAGTGGAAGAAATACATGTCTGTATTTTAACTGTTCACTTAATGCAAAAAAAAGACACATCCAAGTTACACTAATGATCACTACCAAATTTAGGAGTAATGATTTAAATAAAAGAGAAATGTGGGAGTAATGGTGTAAATAAACAAATTTGGGAGTATTTATGTAAAATCTGTAATTTCTGGGAGTATTCTTGTCAATTTCGCCTTTAATTTAATTGGGAGTATCTAAATAGATTCTATTTTGGTTTATTTTCAATGTTTTACTCTTATTTATTTTAGTGCTTAACCCGCTTATAAATGAGTGATGTCATTTTAGATCCCGCGTAAAGTATTTAATATAATTTTTAAATATAGGGAATATAATTTAATTTTTAAGTTTACATCAATTTTAAAAAAAATAAATTTAATTTGTTTTAGTAAAACATACTCGGATCAAGTATCAGCTACCAATCCAAAAAATTACTCAAAAAAATGACCGGAACAGTGTTTACTACCTCTGTATCTGCAGTTTTGGACTGTGATTTTCCCCATTTCGATTTTCCAAGCTCTCCAGTTTTGGCGCAGACCACAATTACTCAACAAGTTTGTGTGAAACTCTTCAAGCCTCGTCCTCCACAAAGAGGTAAAATTACTTCAATTTAGAGCAATTTTGGCAATATTTTTTGTAATTAATGTTAGTATTTTTCACCATGATTCTTTTGACCGATTAAATTTTCATTGGTAAAATTGTTGGTTAGGTTCTCTCACAAAACCCTAGCATTTTACATACTAAATTTTAATGATGTAGGTTAAAATTGTATAGATTATTTTTTATTTAAAAAAATGCTAAAGTTAATACCAAAATGGAAAAGAATTCAAAGTTGACTCCGTCTTCTCCCTTCCATATTATAAAATGAATAAATAAATACTTCCTCCTCATAAAAAAAATTAACTGAGTTGTGGTTGATAAAATGCTTTTCATGAAAGGTATTGAGAAGAAATTTTAAAACAATCCAAATTAAAAAATTAGGAATTGTTTTTTTTCGTGGGGTCATAAAAAAATATACTCCGTGATATATATTTTGTATAAATTAAAAAAGGTGCTTGGGCAAAATAAGTTTTGTCTAGAATCAAAGGAGACAATATAATATTGGGAGGTTGACCCAGTCTTGATTAAATTAATAGTGAGCAAAGCATGTGATTTAGTGGGTATAGTCGCACAAAACAGCACACTCATCTTGACAGTATGTGAGTATTAGGGGTATTACATGTTGGGGCACGCTAGGGATACACCAAAATGGAGCACTTCATTTGTACACCAGACAAAAACAGACATTTAATGTGTGTGATCCACAAACATTAAGTGGTTGTGTTTGTCTGTGTTTGCTTGGTGTATAAATAGGGTACCTAATTTTGGTTTATTCCTACGTTTATTCATTACATGTTAGGTAGAGATGGGCTAAATACAAAAAAATGGAGAAAAATTGGGATTGAAGTTGGTTGGGCTGCCAAAATGGAAAAAGTAAATGGTTTGACTTGGTCTCCTTCTCTGTATTATCAATTGTATTTTTCTCTCATAATATTTAGAAAAAAATATGAACAGTGGTATGCTGTGAGGATTGAGTATTCCATTTTTAACCTTAGCTCGATCTTTGCAGCATTCATACTCCTCTGCTAAAGCTGCTGCGTCTATCTATCATATATAACAGTGGTATTTTTTGCTTTTTTAAAGAACATATTTGTTATGCCTAGAGATAGGATAAATTAATGAAATAGTTGTGACAGAACTAATCACTAGCCCAATTAATTAATTAAGAAAATTATCCAACTAGTTAATTTATCTAAGAAATGTCTACAACTTGAAATCAATTCATTTTCCCTTTTGTCAAACAAATTGCTACTTTGCCCAATTAAACTGAAATCAATTAAACTTTTTGAAGTTAGAAGACTTCCAACACCAGTGAGTATACTTTGCCTAACTACATTTTAATAGAAAATTTATTTTAACGCCAATCCACGTGAATACGACACGGGAATAAATAGATCTCTTATGGAGTGAAATTTACTACCACTAAAACTCTTTCGTCATAAGTGTTCTAATATGTATAGTAGTTAGTTTGTTTTATTTAGTGACAAATTGTTTGCATGCTAATTAAATTGATTTCAAAAGTACAAACTTTCTTCGTGGGAATGACCCTTACTTGCCCTAACTATAGTTTTTATTTGAATATATCTTGGAGGTTAGCTAAGGTTATTTATAAATTTTTAATTTCTTTTGGATCGCACGACGAGTCTTCAACAATATTGAAAAAGGGTGACTATTGACTATGGAGTCATTGTCATCATTCTACTCATTCTACTGGTTGTTGTTGTTGTTCATCTTTTCATCATCACTCATAAGCCTCTCATCTCACCATGTAAAACAAATAGTAATAAGAATATTTTATTTTTCAAATAATAAACGAAAATATAATATGAAAACAAACAAAGTTATTGAGAACCATAATAGATTAATAGACAAATAGTAATAATATAAAATATAAATCATTATTTTAAGAGAGAAGGAGTATTAATTTGTTCAAATTTTATAAATATAGCTAGAAAGAATCAAAAGAAAGAGAGCTAGAAACCAAGACAATTCACACGCACTAGTCGAAGATGCAACACCGTCATGTGATTGTTTCCCATTGAAAGGTACTATTTGTGTTCCTGAGTATCTATCCAATTTTGACCTTTTTCGATCAACCGCCGTTTTTAATATTTGGCCTATATAAAGAGAGAGAGACAAAGGAGAACATTGTTCCTCCTTTCTCTTTTTTGAGAAAGGAGAAATAAATAAACCGGTAACATGAATAAATGAATAAATTCAAGTAAAAGACATGAAGGATAAAGATGGGAATTGGGCATCACAATTCACAGGCGCCGAAGAATAGTAAAAAGTTTGACTAGTCTAAGTTCTCCTTCATTGTCACTAGTAAAAGCTTAAGTAGAAAAAGAGGCACTTAGTGCATTTTGCGTGGGTATATATATATATATATATATATATATATATATATATATATATATATCATAGCCTTATTCTATCACTTAGCTTGTACTGTATTATTATCTCATATAAAAAAAAGAGTTTAAAAACATACATGCAGATATGGAGTCTCCAATAATATTAATAATATTTCACCTATACTTGGTGGTGTTGGTTTCTTCATCCTCATCTCAGTATTCGTCTTTGGAGAAGACGAGGGGACGATGCCACGATGATGAGAAGGCTGCCTTGCTCCAATTCAAGCACAGCTTTGCCAGCACCAACCAATGCAATCATGATTGGCCTAGTTATATTCATCAAAAACCAAAACTGGAAACATGGAAAGAAGGGGGCGACTGCTGCTCCTGGGAGGGCGTGGAGTGTGATGAACAAACTGACCATTATCATGTCGTTGGATTAGACCTGAGTGGGAGTTGCCTCTATGGTTCCGTAAACTCGAGCAATGCACTCTTTACCCTCACTCACCTCCAGAGGCTGGACCTCTCCTACAATCACTTCAACTCTTCTCACATACCCCCCGCAATCGGAAACCTATCCCGTCTCACTCATCTCAACCTTACCAGTTCAAACTTTTATGGCCGAATCCCACAACAACACCTCTCCAATATCACAACTATTGTTTCCCTTGATCTCTCTTCAAATTCTGAGTTGGAACTTCGTAGTCTGAAAGGACTAGTTCAACACATGAGCAACTTGAAGCATCTCCATCTCTCACGTGTGGACCTCTCTTCTTCAGCTCCACCTCACGACTTCCCCTCAAACTTCTCATCTTTAGAGTCTCTGGATCTTTCTTATTGTGAGCTGAAGGGTGAGTTTCCCGCTGCCATTTTCAATCTCCCAAGGCTCAAGATGCTCGATTTAATTGGCAATCATGATCTCGGAGGCTATTTGCCCAACTTCCGTTCGGGGAGTCCTCTTAAATGGTTGTGGCTCTATGATACAAGTTTTGGGGGAGTGTTGCCTCCCTCCATTGGGAATCTTGCCTCTTTGGAAGAACTAGGCATTGGTGGTTGCAATTTTACAGGGGACCTTCCGATGTCACTCGGTAATCTTACCCAACTTGTTTTTTTAGACATCTCAGGTGTTGATCCCTTCACCAAGCAATTTTACAGGGGACCTTCCGATTTGTCCCTTCAAGGTGACTTGACGGGTGAGATACCTTCTTTGCTCATGAACCTCACTCGACTTATTATCTTAGATATATCTTACAACCGACTTAGTGGTCCCATCCCATCTCGGATCATGACCCTCCCTCAACTCAATTCCATTGACTTGTCTCACAATCAACTAAGTGGCCATATCCCACCAAATTTTAATCACCTAATTCAGAATTTGGATCTTTCCTATAATAATTTGGAAGGTCCTATTCCTACAAATATATCCACTCTCCGTAACCTTTTGACTCTGTCACTTCAGCATAACAGATTGTTTGGCTCGGTGGATCTAAGCTTGTTCTCTGACCTCCAAATTTTAAAGGAATTAGTATTGTCACATAATAACTTATCGTTCAGCCTAAAAAACATTAGTTTGAAAAATGGCCACTGCCTTCCAAGTTTACAGTTTTTAGAATTGGCTTCATGCAATCTACTTGAATTTCCCTTATTCTTGCAGAACAAAAAAAATATATTGGAAGCTCTCGATCTTTCTAATAACGGTCTCAAGGGTCAAATTCCTCCTTGGATTTTTGATCTCGGTGAAAATTCCGTAGAGGGTCTCTATTTAAACCTCTCACATAACCTTTTAAATGGTTTTGAACGAGAACATTCTCTCTTTCATCCTCGGGTTAAAATAAGAGGTTTAGACCTCAGAAATAATAAATTACAAGGACCTCTCCCAATCCCACCACCCGATTCCTCCACTTTTTCCTCTTTTCTAATTTCAAACAACAATTTATCGGGTGAAGTATCACATCTCATTTGCAATTTCACATATCTTGTACATCTTGATCTATCATTCAATAGTTTGGGTGGAAAGCTTCCCCAATGTTTGAGCCATTTTAGCAATTATCTTTTGTTGTTGGATTTGAGAGGAAACAAATTTGAGGGAAATATTCCGTCAACATGGAGAAATGGATGCCAACTGAGAATGATCAGTATGAGCCAAAATCAATTGCAAGGGCAATTGCCCAGGTCATTAGCTAACTGTTCATTACTCGAATTCATTGATTTTGGTAGCAACCAAATATTTGATACTTTTCCAGGTTGGTTAGTTACAGCAAGTGAGTTGAGAATTCTTATCTTGCGATCTAATAGTTTGCATGGTGTCATTAATGATGATTTTGGTTTCTCAAATATTCAAGTCATCGACTTATCCAACAATAATTTTAGAGGGAAGCTCCCATCAATGTTCATTGATGCGGCGAATCTAATGAGAGCCCTGAATGTAAGTCGACCACTTGAATACATGGAGCAAGATTTGAAACCACCTAGCCTTTGGAATTCTGAAGGATTTGGCTCATTTGATTACTCATTGACCATGCATAACAAGGGTTTGGAAATGAACTATATGAAGATTCCAAATATTTTTTGTGGCATAGATTTCTCCTCCAACAATTTTGAAGGGCAGATACCCGAAACATTTGGAAATCTCGCAGGGCTTCAGCTGCTAAATCTTTCTAGAAACTATCTCAGTGGTCAAATACCGTCTTCTTTCTCCAACTTGACCAGTTTAGAGTGTTTGGATCTTTCCCAAAATCAACTCTCAGGGCACATTCCTATAGAGCTAACAAAACTCACTCCTCTTTCATCATTTAACGTGTCATTCAACAATCTCTCTGGCCCCATACCACAAGGAAATCAGTTCTGTACCTATGACGCAAAATCTTATGAAGGGAATCCTGGATTGTTCATTGAAACTTGGAATAAGCAGTGCGGAAATGCAAGGTCTTCACCTCAGCTGCAGCAGCAGCCTCCACCCGCTACATTTGATGGTGGCGATGATGATGTTGATTCAGAATATGAGTTTAGAATGAAGTGGATAATAGTATTGATTGGATTCGCCAGTGGTTTAGTGGGTGGAGTGATAGTTGGGAACGAATTCACCACAAGAAAACACGATTGGTTCGTCAAGACTTTTGCAAGGAAACGGAGAGGGTAGGCATAAGAGGAGAAACATACACTACATATAAGCATTCTCAGTTGTGTTTTGAAGTGGGACAAAGAAATAAATGGCTATGTATCATCTGTTACCGTGTATTTTATCATTAATTATCAAGTGAAGCAATGTGATCTGCGTGAGAAAAAAAGAAGCAACTTTTTTGTCTGTTTCATAACAATGAAAAAGGCTCATATAAATGAGACAGATTGTTTTCTTCCCGTATGCTCTTTTGTCTATTTTTCAGTTTGCTTTGTTTTTTCTTCATTCTGTTACTCGAAGGAGTGCTTTAAACAATTTATTCAGCAAAGTTGGTGTGCTTACTTACCATGAGAGAGCTCATGTGAAAACAGAGATCTTTCATATGTGCGTTAATGACTGCTCCAAACTCTTCTGTAATTCAGAGGTTTCCCATTGAGTTTTGGCAGGATTGAGACTGTTTTGAAAATGAGTCTTCTTCTTTATTCTCTATTTCTCACCATCTCATTTTCTTCCTATATGTTCTTAGGCTATGCCTTCTTTATTTCTTTCTTTTGGTAACATTCTGAACTCATCTATGGATTAATTATGTGTGGTTGGACAGGGTTTTGTAGAAATTTATATACTCTCTGCAGTTTTGTTTTTTGCCATTAAATTTTCAGAAGAAGAAATACTAGGGATATTCCTCATAGTCCTTATCTTCAATAGGATAAGATTAAAACCCTAAACCCTAAACCCCAATGAAAATTAAAACCCAGTTAGATATAAGCAACAATTCAATCTTATGTATATATAAATTATTGCCCATGATTCCATGAATTCAGAAAATTGTGGCTTATATCTGAAGCAATTATGAAGAAACATACATCAACACAAAGAATCACAGTTTCTCAAAAAAAGACATCTCCCAAAAACATTTACCTCTGTTCAGAATTCAGATGGAGATTAGCAGAGCTGCCATCCACTTCCATTCCCACATGTGTCTCTAATTCGTCAATATTGGAATACATATGTCTGGGCTTCCATTTCAAACACGTTATAGTATTTGGTTTGTCGTTCTTCTCCGTATAACCAACTACAAAGAAGAAGAAGAAAAGAAGAAATACTAGGGATATTCCTCATAGTCCCTATCTTCAATAGGATAAGATTTTAAGGATTCATTTGATACAAGAAATTGAATCAAAGAATTGAATTGGATAAAATTGAATCCTAATTCAATTTTAAATTCTTTAATTGGTATGAATTAAAGAATTGATATAAAATTATACTCTATTATAATTTCACATCTTTTGTTTGGTAGTACAAAATTGTTTATATGGAATTATATTTTGGACTTTCAACTGTTTATCGTTGGTTAGTGTGCATAAACATTTGAGATGAACCCAAGAATATGGTTGGAATTGCACATATCAAGAATAAGGTTCTCCAATATGAAGAAAAGGTCTTCCATATAAGAGGGATTTGTTATTAGATGCGTTATAGAACTTTTTCAAATTTCAGAACTCATATTATTTCTTCAAATCCAGTTCAGTTTTTTCCAACTTAATCATGTTTTCTCAACTAGTTCTACTTTTTTTTTAACTCTTTGGAACAATCCAACTACAACAAACCCATTTAAATATCACACAAAGTAGGGTCTCGGGAGAGTGAATGTAGTGAGAGCTTACCCCTACTTGAAAGTATTTCTTACACGTCTAAAAAATGAGGAATAAAATAAGAAATAAAATAAAAAATAAAAAAGAATGTTCTTTTTGGACATCCCAAATTCTAAGATCTTTTTTGGGCGCTCTGAAAATTCCTTTTTGTATAAAACTCTTTTTTGCATGTTTCAATTTTTTTCATTCTAATTTTCCATATTTTAATTTTAATTTTTCTATTCTGGATTTTCTATTTAAAGTTACCAAAAAAGTTATTCTAGAAAACAAAAAAATAATTTTTTTAATTTTTGATAGATGGAGTGTATGTTAATTATTTTTATTTTTATTTCAAACATAAAAAATTTTGATAAAAAATTTAAAATAAATTAAAAAAACTTTTCTTGGAGAAGGAAACAAAGAGATAAAAAAGAGTTAAAAAAATGGGAAAAAACCAAATAATAAATGAAAAATAAGAAATGAACACAAGTGTCCCCTATGGATTAGATAATATGCACCAATGCCCAATACTCGCTGGAAGATGATTAGAGGGGTGTGGATGTAATGTTTTGAAACCACAGGGGCTCTAGTCAAACTATAAAACTTAATCTGAAAGGAGGAAAGTACTCCGTATCTTTTTATTACTTTTCTTACTGGCCTTATTTTTTTTTGGGGAGGGTGGTTCGGTTTACTGATCAAAGGCCCTTTATCCTTGTCATTTTCTGAAAGCTTTTTGTTTCTTATTGGTGGTGACTGTAAGGCCTCTCTGTATTGGGACTATGAGTCTCTAGAGCCATTCTTTTTATCACAAGTCTTATTTGTCAAGTTTTATCACTTCAGCCACCAACATGGAAAATGGCAGTGGACTTTACTTGGCCTTTCCCCTCTCCTGCAGTCAAAATGGAAAAACAAAAGTTTAGTCTTCCATAATTTTTTTTCCTGAGTATAAAGTATATCCTGAATGATCATAAACTACACAACAGGAAGTATTTGTTAAAGAATAGAACAACATTGTGTGATGATGGAGTCTTCCTTTTGCTTGGTGGTCTTGTTTTCATGTCTCACACTCCTGTCTCAATCTATGTTGTCACAGTGTCTCCCCTCCCTGTCTTTGAAGAAGAAACACTGCCACGATGATGAGATGGCTGCCTTGCTCCAATTCAAGCACAGCTTTGTGATCAACACCAATCACTGCTATGATCATCATCATCATCAACAACAACATAAACTGGAATCATGGAATGAAGGGGATGACTGCTGCTCCTGGGAGGGCGTGGGGTGTGATGACCGAAGTGATCATGTCATCATCTTAGACCTCATCCGGAGTTGCCTCTATGGTTCCATAAATTCCAGCAGCGCCCTCTTTACCCTCATTCACCTCCAGAGGCTTGACCTCTCAGGGAATGACTTCAACTCTTCTCGCATACCCTCTGCAATCGGAAACCTCTCCGATCTCACTCATCTCAATCTGTCCTATTCGAGACTCACTGGCCAAATCCCACAACAGCAACTCTCCAACATTACCACTTTGGTGTCCCTTGATTTGTCTTGTAAACACGGTCTGAAAGTTGGCAGTCTGAAAGGGCTAGTACAACGCATGATCAGTTTGAAGGAGCTCCATCTCTCTGGTGTGGACATCTCTTCTTCAGCTGTGCCTGCTGACCTCCTCTTGAATTTCTCATCTTTACAATCTTTGCTTCTTGCTGGTTGTGGACTGCGAGGCGAGTTTCCCGTGGCCATTTTCGATCTCCCAAAACTCAAGATGCTCGATCTAAGGGACAATAATGATCTCAGAGGCTATTTGCCCAACTTCCGTTTAGGGAGTCCTCTTCAATCGCTGCGGCTCTCATATACAAGCTTTGGGGGAGTGTTGCCTCCTTCCATTGGAGATCTTGCCTCTTTGGAATATATAGACATCTCCCATTGCAATTTTACAGGGAAGCTTCCGATGTCACTCGGTAATCTCACCCAACTTGTTGCTTTCAAAATTTGGGACGGTAATCACTTCAGCCCTGATAGTCTTACTACCACTTCATTGTCATGGATTAGTAAGCTCACCGAAATCAATTATTTGGGCCTTGGATTCATGAACTTGACAGGTGAGATCCCATCTTGGCTCATGAACCTCACTCAGCTCAAAGTCCTCGACTTGTCTCACAATCAATTAGCTGGTCAAATCTCATCCAATTTTAATCACCTAATTGAGGCGTTGGACCTTTCCTATAACAATTTGGAAGGCTCTATCCCTACGAATCTATCTAACCTCCATAACCTTCGGTTTCTTTTACTTGATCATAATAGATTTGATGGCTTTGTGGAGCTAAGCTCATTCTCTCACTTCAAAGATTTAAGCTCTTTATTTTTGTCACACAATAGTTTATCATTGAGCATACCAAACATTAGCACAAAAAATGTAAACTTCTTTCCAAGCTTACAATTTTTAGGATTGGCTTCATGTGGTCTATCCAAGTTTCCTGCATTCCTCAAAAATAACAAAAACACGTTAGAATATCTAGATCTTTCTAATAATAGGCTGAGGGACCAAATTCCTCCATGGATTTTTGATCTTGGTCAAAATTCGAAAAGTGGCATCTATTTGAACCTTTCTCATAACCTTTTAGCTGGTTTTGAACGACAACATCCTCTCTTTCATCCTCGGGTTAGAATAAGAGCTTTAGACCTTAGGCATAATGTGTTACAAGGACCTCTCCCAATCCCACCACCTTCCTCCATCTCCACTTTTTCATCCTATCTAATTTCAAACAACCATCTCTCAGGAGAAGTTTCACATCTCATTTGCAATTTGACATCCCTTCGATATCTTGATATATCATTTAATAGTTTGAACGGAAAGATTCCTCATTGTTTGGGCAACTTGAGCGATAACCTTTCATTGTTGGACCTCAGAGAAAACAAATTTGATGCAAACATTCCGTCAATGTGGAGAAATGGATGCCAACTGAGAATGATTAGTATGGGGCACAATCAGTTACAAGGGCAATTGCCAAGGTCATTAACCAACTGTTCATTGCTAAAGTTTGTTGATTTTGGTCACAACCAAATAACTGACACCTTTCCATTTTGGTTAGGAACAATTACTCACTTGAGTGTCCTTATCTTGAGATCTAATAGTTTGCATGGTGTCGTTAATGATGGTTTTGGATTCTCAAACCTTCGAGTCCTCGACTTATCCAACAATAGTTTAAGAGGGAAGTTGCCATCAAAGTTCCTTGACACCTCGAATCCCATGAGAGCCTTAAATGCAAGTCGAATGGTGGGATACATGGAGCAGTCCTTGGATCCAAATTCTGCTTTGGTTTATGAAGATTATTACGTGATTATATTGCAGTTTATGGAGCATACCCTAGCTCCGATCATGGGACTGAATGACTTTGAATCCATTTGGCGATTTGAAGAATGCGGTTCATTTGATTACTCAATGACCATGCATAACAAAGGTTTGGAAATGAACTATATGAAGATTCCAGATATTCTTTGTGGCATAGACTTCTCCTCCAACAATTTTGAAGGGCATATTCCTGATGCTTTTGGAGATCTTGTGGGGCTTCAACTGCTAAATCTTTCTAGAAACCATCTCACTGGTCACATACCATCTTCTATCTCCAACATGAAAAATTTAGAATCTTTGGATCTCTCCCAAAACCAACTCTCGGGACAGATCCCTACGGAGCTCACAAAACTCACATCTCTTTCATCATTTGACGTGTCCTTTAACAATCTCTCTGGCCCTATACCACAAGGAAATCAGTTCTGTACCTATGACTCCAAACCATATGAAGGGAATCTTGGATTGTCCGTTGAAACATGGACTAAGCAATGTGGAAATGCAAGGTCTTTGCCACAAGTGCCGCAACTTCAGCCGCCATCCATTATTGATGATGATGATGATGATTTCAAAATAAAGTGGATGATAATATCGATTGGATTCCTAGGCGGTTTGGTTGTTGGAGTGATCCTTGGAAATGAGTTTACTACAAGAAAACACTATTGGTTTGTCAATACTTTTTCAAAAGGAAACCGATATGGTAGGCGCGAGAGGGGAAGCATACAATAAGCATTCTCAGTTGTGTTTTGAGCTGAAACAGAAATAAATGTTTATGTATGATCTGCTATCATCTATGTTTGGACAAGAAGATGTTTTTTGTGTGTGTGCTTACTAACCATGAAAAGGCTCATATAAAAACAGAAATAATTCATATGGAGTAAATAATGACTACTAATTATGGCAGACACCATTGATGTTGTTTTTGTGGAAATGGGTCATACTCTTTATGCTCATCTTCTTCTCATTTTATTCCAGTATGTTCTTTATAGTACAAACATATTGGAATAATACACACTCTCCGGACAGATTCCTATGGAGCTCACAAAACTCACTTTTCTTTCGTCATTTGAAGTGTCATTCAACAATCTCTCTGGCCCTATACCGCAGGGAAATCAATTTTGTAACTATGATCCCAAGTCATATGAAGGGAATCCTGGACTGTCCCTTGAAACTTTGGATAAGCAGTGTGGAAATGTGACGTCATTGCCTCAACTGCAGCACCCTCCATCCAAGACTGATGATGATGATGGCTCCAAAACCGACTTTAAAATAAAGTGGATGTTAATATCGATTGGATGCATAAGTGGGTTTGATTGTTGGAGTGATCGTTGGGAATGAGCTGGCTACGAGAAAACACTATTGGTTTGTCAAGACTTTTGCAAGGATACGGAGATGGTAGCCATGAGAGGGGAAAACATATTACAAGCATTCTTGGTTGTGTTTGGAGGTGAATGAGAAATAAATGGTTGTGGTCTTGTGAATGTGTTTTATTACTATTGCATTGTCTGTTATAATGTGTGTTATCTTCATCAAGTGAAGCAATGCAATCTATGTTTTACAGAAAGAGGCATTTTTTGTGCTTAAAATGGTGTCATTTATGGCCAAACAATGACTGCTCAAACTTGTGCAGAATCAGAGGTTTCCAGTTGAGTTTTAGCATATACCGAAGACTCTGGCATGATTAATTCTTCTCTGAAAATGAGCCGTACGTGTCCTTTGTAACATTCTATGGATTTATGTGTGTGAGTTTTTTCTTCTCTTTTCCAACAGTTTACGTTCTAATGGTGTTTCTTATATTCATATTTGCAGAACCATCTAAATTATGTCCCAATCTTTAAAAACAGTTTTTTTGTTTCAAAGGTCTTTCTTTCATCATTGCACACACACACACACAAAAGACATCTCGTCCATGAAACGATTTACCTGTGTAGAGAATTCTTCAAATGAGTACAGAAGGAAGATAGGGGAAATGGAATGGAAAAACATTATATTCAATTCCCACACGGGAATAATTACTGATACCCAAACATGAATTAGAAATTGGAGATGAAGGTCCTTGTCAGGGTCAACCTTGTGTAGTAACTTTACTTTATCTCCATGGGCATGTGTTTCACATGATAAAAATATCAAGACATTTTTCAAAAAATTTCTTATAATATTTCTCATCAGAAACACACGCCCATAAGTAGGGGTGTAAACGAACCGAATCGAAGCGAATACTGATATATTTGAATTTGTATTTGTTTAATTTTTTCGAATCCGAATCCGAATCCAAATATGAGACGAATTCAAAATAAGATTTGAATAAGTATTTGATTAATATTTGAATAATTATCGAATCATAAACGAATATTTGAATAATCATACTATGTAATTTATATGATGGACCAACATCAATTTGTAATTTAACTTACGATACTCTTTATACTATACAATATTCCGTATATAAAAACATTAATACATCTGCACCTTACACAAATTATATTTTATAAAATATAACTATTAAAAATCATATGCTTTAGATTTTTGTGTTACGTTAATTTATTGAATTCTTAGTATTTTAAATACACTTTATACTATATTACTTTGCTTGACTTTTGATATTGAAAACATGGTCTGTGTATATATACATATATTCGAATATTCGAATACCATCCGAATCGAATATATCCCTAGTTGTATTTGTATTTGATTAATATTCGAATCAAAAATAATGTTTGAGTTTGAATTTGTATTTGAGTAATGCGAATTCGAATCATCATATTCGAACACAAATCGCGAATCGAATTTAAAATATTTGATTTGTTTACATCCCTACCCATAAGTGAATGATAATGATATTATTTTTAGTTTTTAACTCATAAATTATACTCCTTTCATCTCATAAAATCCTTCTTATTTGAAAAAAATCATGTTTTTAAAATGAGTAATTTTGATATTATTTCTTAATTATGGTTCATCTATCATATACATCTCATCCTACTCTATTATAAAGTAAGAGCAAAATTAGAAAATAACATTAAAATTGTTCATTCTAAAAGTGTCTTTTTTTAAAGAGAAGGTTTTATGGAATAGAGAGAGAAGTGGAGTACAATACCACAAAACTGCGCTATATTCAATGTATCTATGAGAAATCAAATTATTTTTTAAAAAATTAATTATGTTTTATAAAGTCCTTTGGTAAATAGGGAAAATAATCTTCTAAATTAATATTTTCATTTTACTATTCTTATGTCAATATTTTTATTTTTATTTATTTTCGTTAGTTATTAAAATTCTTTAGTAATTATGAAAATAACTCTCCATTCTAAATTAATATTCTCAATTTACTATTCATATGTCAACTTTTTTTATTTTTATTTTTATTTATTTTCGTTAATTTTTTTAAAGTAATACAGTCATTTCATTTTTGTTTTATTATAAAATTTGATGCATTCACAACACTAATATATACTTAAAGTAATACAGTCACAACACTAATACGGAGTATATACTTAAAATATCCAATATAGCACTGGTATGGGATATTGAACCTCGTTTGGATGCAATTCCAAATTTACCCTTGCATTCTACACTGTCAAAAAATATGTTTAAGTTGATATACACTTCCAGAACATGCGCATAACACACTATTGTCATACCCAATATAACATGTATCCACACTGTCAAAGCATGATCATTCCACACTACCAAAAATGTGTTTAGTTAGTATACACTTCCAGAACATGGGAATAACACACTGAGAGAAAGTGTAGTTAACTATTGTGAACAATAATACACTGCTCAAAACATGTGCATAACACACTGCCAAAAACTGTAGTTAAGTATTGTGAACAATAACACACTGCTCAAAACTTGGGCATAACACATTGCTAGAAAGTGTAGCCATAACATGTTCATTCCACACTACCAAAAAACTTGGTATACACTTCCAATTTCGTTTATGAAATGTGTTTAAGCAGTGAGGAGTAACACGATGGTTCTAAAGGCTATGTACAATGAATGAGAATAACATCCTAAAATTATGAATTTCAATAAATATCGTAATTGAAATAATTAAAATACTGCATTATAATAAAAGAGTATGTTTGGAAGAGATCCACGCCATAAATAGTCAAATATGTGAAAAATAATAAGTAGTGCTACATGTATAATATTAGGTGTCTTAGAGTGCTACATACGGTGATTTTTAATTTTAATTCATGTCATCAATTTATCCAATAATAGTTTTTGAAAAGATTTCATCAAAGTTATTTGATGCGTCAAATTCCATGAGAGCATAAGAGCCCAAAATAGGAGTTTACACTGTCATTGTTATACTGGCACACTCACTAAATTGTCACATTGTAACTGCCACACCATCACCACCGCACTGTCGTCTGTCGCTGCCGGCCGCTAGAGTACTGTTACATATTGCCGACAGTTGACTGATAATGCTGTGGTCTGTCAACGCGTACTCATACACCTCAATGCCACTATACTCTTATTTTGGTCTTAAAAGACAAAAGACTCCTATTTTGGTATTTTCAAACTTTTAACTCTTATCGAAGAAGATTTCTTATAAGTGAAATTTGCACTAAATAGGACTAAAACATAATGACTTTTCTAATGTAGGACTTAAACTTTTTTATTCCCTAAATAGGACTTAATAATGACCTAGTGGAAGGAATAATGTCCAGCAATGATGGACATTTAGTTGAATAATGACTACTTGATAATGACCAAAGGTCTTACATTGGGAAATAAAAACATATGGTCCTATATTGGGAAAGTCATTATGTTTTGGTCTTATTTAGGTAAATTTCTCATCTTATAAATCATATAAAGATTCTAGATATTTTTGTGGCATAGATAGACTCTAAAACAAACGAAATTTTGTTGGGTGTAATTAGAAGGGGTGAGGGTGGGTTCGGCTTGAGTCGGAGTGGGAGTTTACCGAAGGAGTAGGAATCATCAATTTTTTGAACGGAGCACCGTTAGTCCCTCAATCGAGACCCATATCATATGATGACGTGGGAGGCTGTTGTCATCTGTCCCTCAAAATTTATGAAGCCAAGAGAAAATTGATGTGAACCCAAGTAATTCTTTGATTCTGTCCTTAACACTATGTTTGATTCAAGGAATTTGGTAGAAAAAGAAAAGAAAATGGTTTTACCTCATTTTCCTCACTAAAATGGGAGGAATTTGGTTTTACTTCTTCTTAGTACATTTTGCCTTCTCTTTTTCTTTTTTTTCACTTTTCTTTTCTTTAATTTACTCTTTAACCAAATAAGAAACATGTTTTCCTTCTCATTTTTTCTTTTAACTTTCCTACTCAAATTCCTTAAACAAAACATCCTGTAAAAGAGAACCAGGAGATATGTGATTTAAAAGATAGATATCTAAAAACAAAGATGGGCGGATTTAAAAGGACCAGGAGAGTAGTACATTAGACGTGGACATGAACAGAGCCATTTTCCGCTATGGTCCAAACATCAAACTATGTTTGAAGAGAGAAAGACTAAAATAGAACTAAAATATTGAAAATATTCCAAAATATAATAGTCATGTTTTAAAATCTTGAAATAAGACTTAAAATGCATTTACATTACCAAACATGGTCATGTACATTACCAAAAAGTAGAGTAATGTGCACATGTATAATATCACATTATCACAGTGCGAAGTTCTATTCCAAAATAAATGTGAAAGTCCTATTTTGACACTTTTCTCTATGTTTTAGTCTTATTTAGGGTGATTTCTAATGTTTGAAGTGGGGGAGGAGGGGGGGGAGCGTGGGAGGTTGATTCAATGTTTTAAACATATTTCATTTCATTTTAACATAAGTTCACATATATTTTTCAAGCTGTTTAAATAGGTATGAACCATGCCATTGTGTTTTGTACATAGAAGAGAAAATATAGAAACAAATACGGAGTAATTCTTTTTTTAAAGGAAATGAAAACATAATTTTGAGACTCTTGAAAGAAGTGGAAAATTATTCCAGGAATGAATGAAATAATTAAATTTATTCATGATTCAATTTGTGTATTGTGGGATTAAATATGTGCAGTCCTGATCACTTCAAATTTTGCACAGAAAACTTAATTTTTTTGATACCATGTTAAATAACTAATTGAACCAAAAACTTAATTTCATGGTTAATGGGTAAAGATTTTCGTTACTAAATATGTCCCAAAAAATCTTCTACATTTTAATTTTTGTGGTTAACTTTCAACACACTTTGATCATTAGTAAATTGATTCTCTTATTTTGACAAGAACATTTCTTGGCATATTTTATAACAATAAATGCAATTGGAGTACATATGATGTTTCGTTCATAAATTTAATACTCCCTCCGTCCTATAACTTTCTTCCCATGTCCCCTTTTTCCCCGTCCTAAAACTACCTTCCCATTAGAAAAAAAAGACGACAAATGACATTATTACCCTCATGTATTTACACCAATTATCTTCTAACTCTATATTTTGAATGATTGCAAAAAAAATTTCAAAAAATCTTTTTTAAGGAGGATAAAATTTGAAGTCAAAGCCAAAAGTTAAAAATGGAGAAAAGTCAAACTGGGAAGAAAGAATTAGGACGGAGGGAGTAGTTTCCACCTTGCCCCTACCTCAATCCTCTTCTCCTCTCCTTCCCCTTCTCCTCATTTGGCTGTCAATAATTGATCCGAGAGGAGAGGTGCAGGAGGTTTAGACGAGTAGAAACTATTAATTTTACGAATAGAGTATTTTTAGTGCCTTGATTACATTTGTTGTCATATTATAACAACAAATATTGTTGTCAAAAGAACTGAAGTGTTAATAAAAAATGCTATAAAGTTTAAGATATCAAAGTACATTAAAATGAACTTAATTATATTACGAATTACATTTTAATTTTAACCAACTTTTTTCCATAAAAGAAGATAAAAAGACTATTTGTAAAAAAGATATCCATAAAAAAGAAATATGGGGATAATGGCCCTGTTTGGAATTTAGTTGTTGGCGGATATATGTTCGTGTTAGCTGGTTTGAAAGGCTAGTTTAGTTGGCTGCTTTGACCAATTAATTATATTGGCCGTTGATAACAATTATTTGGCAAACTTAGCTTTTCTAAAATAGCTTTTATAAATTAAATTAAATTTAATAAAATTTTTACCTATAGGTATAACATGTTTTGCAATATATGTTCTTTCTTTCTTGAAATAAAATTTTAAGCTATATATTGTTCTAAAGTCATTATGTTTTTATTTACTTATGTGTTTTATCGATCAATTGATAGAACAATATAATTATACAGAGTATCATATTTTGTTTCAAAAAACTTTTGATGTAGTTCTTAAAAATATAATTTGTTTATTTCTACACCAAATTCTCAAAAAAAATCAGGGAAAAATATTTTTTCTTGCAAATTGATTCATGAATTTTACATGGGGAAGGACTATTTGTTTATATATTATTTACTTATTTATTTATTTAGTTATTAAATGATTGATTGATTGATTTATATATCAATTTTTTATTTATATATTTATATTTTTATCAATTTTTTATTTAATTACACAATAAATAATTTATTTTTTTATTCATAAAAATTACATACAATAACAAATAATATATAAACCTATTTTTCAACAGCTAAACCGAAATACTACTCCCCATAGTTTTTTAAATTTTGGCTTTTTGGATTTAAATAGCCAACCTTTGCAGCCAACTACCCAATACCAATTTTGGCTATTTGACCAGTCAAATCTGTTAAAATTGGTCAAAACAGCCAAAAGCCATTCTAAAAGCCAAAAACAAAATATGCCCAAAATTTGATAATAAGGAACTAAACACAAGGACCACGAACTTTACTCTAAACCATCCATCAACTTTGTTGATGCTCCCGTTTTTTACAAGTCTTTGATAACTTTTAAAAAGGATGAGCCTTATCCCTGAGCGTTCCCTCACACTAGGTGGGACGGTCACTGAGAGATCGTAACTTAGACTTTGATCGCAGATTAGTGACATACAGTGGAGCATGCATCTAATAAGAGGTGATATGTTCTTTCTTTACTGAAATAAAATTTTAAGCTATATATTGTTCTAAATTCATTATGTTTTTATTTACTTATGTATTTTTATCGATCAATTAATAGAACAATATAATTTAAGTATACGGACTATCATATTTTGTTTCAAAATATTTTTGATGTAGTTCTTAAATATATAATTTGTTTATTTCTACACTCAATTCTAAAAAAATCAGAAAATATATTTTTTCTCGCAAATCGTTTCATGAATTTTACATGGGGAAGGACTATTTATTTATTTACTATTTATTTATATATTATTTAGTTATTAATTGATTTATTTATTTATTTATTTATTTATCACTTTTTTATTTATATATTTATATTTTTTATCATTTTTTATTTAATTACACAATAAATAATTTTTTATTTATTCATAAAAATTACATACAATAACAAATAAAATATATAAACGTATTTTCCAACAGTTAAACCGATATACTACTCACCGTAGTTTTTTAAGTTTTGGCCTTTTGGATTTAAATAGCCAACCCTTGCAGCCAACTACCCAATACCGATTTTGGTTATTTGACAAGTCAAATCTGTTAAAATTGGTCAAAACAGCCAAAAGTCATCTTAAAAGCCAAAAACAAAATATGCCCAAAATTTGATAATAAGGAACTAAACACAAGGACCACGAAATTTACGTAAACCATCTATCAACTTTGTTGATGCTCCCGTTTTTTAAGTCTTTGATAACTTTTTTAAATGATGAGTCCTATCCCAGAGCGCCCACTGACACCTGGTCGAATGGTCATTGGGAGAATATAACTTAGACTTTGATCGCAGATTTGTGACATAAAGTGGAGCCCCCGATAAGAGGTCATGCTTATAATACTATATTATTTTATCAAATGGATGACGAAAATAAACCAACAAAGTGAATAAAGTTTGACCCTATAAATAGTGAACAAGAAGTTTATTTGTGGATGAAATGAGTAGTTGTTTACCCTAACTAACTTTTTTACTGATATTTGAAAATGGCTAATTTTTCTGAAATTTCATTGTGTTTGTTCGGTGGTGTTTCTAAAAGGCATCGGAATTGGGGCTGTGATTTGCCTCATTTCAATCTTTGAGCTCTGCAGTTTTGCCGTTCACCACAACGTGCAAGTTTGTACAGAGAGGTAAATTTACACAATTTATTTTCGAGCAATTTTGTGAATATTTAATGTAACCCTGTAAATTTATACTCTCTACTACAAATTAAACTTTCCATTTTTTTGCAATGAGTTTAAGAAAAAGTAAAAATTGTCTTGAGATTTTTGCGAATCAGATTGAAAAATACTTTCTTTAAATATGAATTAACAAATGACAAGTTTATTTTGGCCTTTTTGGGACAAACAAAAAAAGGGTGAAAAGTTTATTTTGGTCCCCCCTCCCCCTTTGCAAACTCAATCCTTTCTGCAGTTACCATTGAAAAAAAACAGATTTTGTGCTGTAATTAAATAGTGAGCATAACACAGGAGTCAGTGAGCATAGAGTTTAGACATGAACTAAAGAATAAAGTTGGAGAAAAGTTGGCATTAAGGTAATTAGGTTGAAGTTGCACATGAATATAGGAAAAGTAAATGGTTGACTTGAGTCTCCTTCTCCATATGAGAAAAGTCTTCCATTGTAATTGGATTAGTCATAAAGATTGTATTTTTCTCTCATAATAATAATAATACTAGTAATAGTAAAGAACAGTGGTATGCTGGGAGGATTGAGTCTTCCATTTAAGCTTAGCTTGATCTCTGCAGCACTCATAAAATATTTTTCTAAAGAAGAGAAGTTTGTGGGGGTGAGTATGGAGTCATCATCATCATCATCATTCAACTTGTTGTTCATCTTTTCATCATCATTCATACTCATTTTCATCTCTCATAATTCTGTGGAGGCATTCATCCACTCATCATCGTCATCATCTTTAACCAAGAAACGTTGTCAAGACGACGAAATGGAAGCCTTGCTTCAATTCAAGCATCATTATCAGTATTTCGATGATACAATACTAGAATCATGGAAAGAAGGGGGTGATTGCTGCTCGTGGGACGGTGTCGACTGTGATGAACAAACTGATCATGTGATCGGCTTAGAGCTTAGTAAGAGTTTCCTCTATGGTTCCATAAACTCCAGCAGTCCCCTCTTTACCCTCACTCACCTCCAAAGGCTGGACCTCTCCTGGAATGACTTCAACTATTCTCACATACCCACCACAATCGGAAACCTCTCAAGTCTCACTCATCTCAACCTGTCCGCTTCGAACTTTGCTGGCCAAATCCCACAACAACACTTCTCCAATATGACCACTTTGGTTTCCCTAGACATGTCTTCAAATAACGGTTTGAAACTTCCTAGTCTGAAAGGACTAGTTCAACACTTGATCAACTTGAAGGAGCTCCACCTCTCAGAAGTTTACATTGGTTCGGTTGTACCTGACGGGCTCCTCTCATCTTTAGAGTCTCTACATCTCTCTTGCTGTCACCTAAGGGGGGAGTTTCCCGTGGCCATTTTTGATCTCCCAAAGCTCAAGATGCTTAATCTAAGTCGCAATCCTGATCTCAAAGGCTATTTGCCCAACTTCCATCTAAAGAGTCCCCTTCAATTGTTGGATCTCTCTGAAACAAGTTTTGGCGGAGTGTTGCCTCCCTCTGTTGGAAATCTTGCCTCTTTGGAACATATAGACATCTCCGGTTGCAATTTTACAGGGAAGCTTCCAATGTCACTCGCTAATCTTACTCAACTTGTTTCTTTGAATATTTGGGAAGGTAATCACTTCAGCCCTGATGCTTTCTCTACTACTTCATTGTCTTGGATTGGTAAGCTCACCAAGCTCACTCATTTAGACCTTGCATACTTGAACTTGATGGGTGAGATTCCATCTTGGCTCATGAACCTCACTCAACTTACCGAGCTATATATGAATGATAATCAATTTTCCGGTCCGATCCCTTCTTGGCTTATGACCCTCCCTCAGCTCAGCTCTATTAGTTTGTCTCGCAATCAATTAACTGGTCAAATTCCTTCCGAATTTAATCGACTAATTGAGTCATTGCACCTTTCGTCTAATTCTTTTGAAGGCTCTATTCCTACAAACATATCTAATCTCCATAACCTTCGTAGTCTTTCACTTCATCATAATAGATTTGTTGGCTTGGTGGAGCTAAGTTTATTCTCTCACCTCAAAAATTTAAACTCGCTATGTTTGTCACATAATAGATTGTCATTGAGCGTAAAAAATATTAGCGCAAAAACGGCCATTTACTTTCCAAAATTACGCGTGTTAGGATTGGCTTCATGCAATCTCTCTGAATTTCCTACATTTTTACGCCACAATAAAAACTCATTCCATCATCTAGATCTGTCTGATAACAGTCTCAGAGGACAAATTCCTCAATGGGTTTTTTATCTTTGTCAAAATCCTAACGATGGTCTCTATTTGAACCTCTCTCATAACTTTTTAACTGGTTTTGAACGAGATCAACCTCTCTTTCATCCTCGGGTTGAAATAAGAACTTTGGACCTTAGGAATAATAGGCTACAAGGATCTCTCCCAATCCCACTACCTTCCTCCAATTGTTTTTCCTTCCTAATTTCAAACAACAATTTATCTGGTGAAGTCTCACAACTCATCTGCAATATCACATCCCTTATGCATCTTGATCTATCATTCAATAGTTTGGGTGGAAAGCTTCCCCAATGTTTGAGCCATTTTAGCAATTCTCTTTCATTGCTGAATTTGAGAGGAAACAAGTTTGATGGAAATATTCCGTCAACATGGAGAAATGGATGCCAACTGAGAATGATTAGTATGAGCCAAAATAAATTACAAGGGCAATTGCCTAGGTCATTAGCTAACTGTTCCTTACTGGAATTCATTGATTTTGGTAGCAACCAAATAGTCGACACTTTTCCGTTTTGGTTAGGAACAATTACTCAGTTGAGCGTTCTTATTTTGCGATCTAACAGTATGCATGGTGTCATCAATGATGATTTTAGATTCTCAAATATTCGAATCATCAACTTATCCAACAATAGTTTCAGTGGGAAGCTCCCATCAAAGTTCTTTGGTGCCTCAAATCCCATTAGAGCCCTTAATGTAAGTCGAGCAATGGAATACATGGAGCACACTTTGCTGCCGAATCGCTTTTGGGCTCTTGAAGAATTTGACCCATTTGATTACTCAATGACAATGCATAACAAGGGGTTGGAAATAAACTATACGAAGATTCCAGATATTTTTTGTGGCATAGACTTGTCCTCCAACAATTTTGAAGGGGTTATTCCAGATGCATTTGGAGATCTCGCGGGGCTTCAGCTGTTAAATCTTTCTGGAAACCTTCTCACTGATCACATACCGTCTTCTTTCTCAAACATGAAGAGTTTAGAGTGTTTGGATCTCTCCCGAAACCAACTCTCAGGGCACATTCCAGAAGAGCTCACAAAACTCACCTCTCTTTCATCATTCGACGTGTCCTTTAACAATCTCTCTGGCCCTATACCACAAGGAAATCAGTTTTGTACCTTTGACTCCAACCCATATGACGGGAATCCAGGACTGTCCCTTGAACCTTGGAATAAGCAGTGTGGAAACACGAGGTCTTTGCCACAAGTGCAGCAGCCTAAACCGCCATCCATTACAGATGATGATGATGATGACTATAACGATGATGACAAATTTGAAATAAAGTGGATGATGATATCCATTGGATTCCTAAGTGGTTTGGTTGTTGGAGTGGTTGTTGGGAATGAGTTTACTACAAGAAAACACTATTGGTTCGTCAATACTTTTTCAAAAGGAAACAGAGATGGTAGTCGTGAGAGGGGAAGCATATATAAGCATTCTGAGTTCGGTTTGTGGCTGAAACAGAAATAAATGGTTATGTATTATATTATCTGTATTAACACTATCAAGTATGTTAGACAAGAAGATGCTTTTTTTGTGTGTGTGCTTAATTACAAACCATGAGAAAGCTCATATACTTTATAAGCTTGATTGATCTTTAATTAGTGATGACTTTAGCGTACACATGTTTATTTTTCTTCCTTATGTTACTTGAATGGGTGTTGTAAAGAATTTATTTTAGCAGAATTGGGAGTTCATAAATCATAAGCAACTAAATGGTGATGAGTATTTTTGTAACTTGTCAATGAATCTTCATTGGGGATGTAACTAAGAGGAGCAATACCATTCGTCCATTTCATTCTTTACTGACATTTGAGAAATTCTATTTTTTTCTGAAATGTCTCTGTCTTGGGAAGCTTTGTGTTTGTAAAGACTATATTGGGACTGTGATTTCCCCCATTTTAATTTCCTGAGCTCTGCAGATTTGCCGCAGGCAACAACAAGTTTGTGTGAAACTCTTCCCTCTTCGTCCTCCACAAAGAGTGAAAGAGGTAAATTTACTTGCATTTTAGAGCAATCTTGGGAATACCTTTTGTAATTAACCTTGCACTATGTTTGGTTCAAGGAATTTGGAAGAGAAAAGAAAAGAGAATGAGATGGAAACCATTTTTTTAACATTCTATGGATTATGTGTGTGAGTTTTTCTTCTCTTTTCCAACAGTTTACGTTCTAATGGTGTTTCTTATATTCATATTTGCAGAACCATCTAAATTATGTCCCAATCTTTAAAAACAGTTTTTTTGTTTCAAAGGTCTTTCTTTCATCATTACACACACACACACACAAAAACATCTCGTCCATGAAACCATTTACCTGTGTAGAGAATTCTTCAAATGGGGACAGAAGGAAGATAGGGGAAATGGAATGGAAAACATTATATTCAATTCCCACACGGGAAAAATTACTGATACCCAAACATGAATAAAAAATTGGATATGAAGGTCCTTGTCAGAGTCAACCTTGTGTAGTATCTTTCCTTTATCTCCATGGGCATGTGTTAGAAAAATTTCAAGACATTTTTCAAAAAATTTCTTATAATATTTCTCATCTGAATGATAATGATATTATTTTTATTTTTTAACTCATAAACTATATTCCTTTCATCTCTTAAAATCCTTCTTGTTCGAAAAAAACCATGTCTTTAAAATGAGTAATTTTGGCATTATTTCTTAATTATGATTCATCGATCCTATACATCTCATCCTAGTCTATTATAAAGTGGGAGCAAAATTAGAAAATAACACTATAATTGTTCATTCTAAAGGTGTGTCTTTTTTTAAGAGAAAGGTTTTATGGCATAGAGAGAGTCGTGGAGTACAATACAACAGAACTACGCTATTTTTGATTATTTTTTTAAGAGATGGGTTTTATGAAAAATTAAATTATTTTTTTAAAAATTAATTATGTTTTATAAAGTCCTCTTGTAAATAGGAAAAATAATCATCTTGTCCTAAATTAATATTTTCATTTTACTATACTTATGTCAATATTTTTATTTTTATTTATTTTCGTTAGTTATTAAAATTCTTTAGTAATTATGAAAATAAATCCCCGTTCTAAATTAATATTTTCATTTTACTATTCTTATGTCAAATATTGTGTTTGTATATTTATTTATTTTCGTTAAACATTTTAAAAGTAATATAGTCATTTCATTTTTTGTTGTGTGATCTGAAGATTTCGCCTAGAATGAAAGGTAAGTTCTATCGATCCGTAGTCAGACCTGCTATGTTATATGGGGTAGAGTGTTGGGCGGTTAAGAAGACTCATGTGCGTCGTCTGCATGCGGCAGAGATACGCATGTTACGATGGATGTGTGGGAAGACAAGGTTGGATAGGATTTCGAACGAAGTTATTCGACGTCAGGTAAGCATGGCACCTGTGGAAGATAAGTTGCGGGAAGCGAGGTTGAGATGGTTTGGCCATGTGAGACGGCGGGATGCTGACGCCCCTGTACGGAGATGCGAGAGGATTAAGGTTAGCAGGGGTAGTAGGGGAAGGGGTAGACCTAGGAAGAATTCAAAGGAGGCGATTAGGCAGGATTTAGGACTTCTCGACCTGACTGAGAATATGGCCTTAGATAGGAACCTTTGGAAAACTAGGATTAGAGTAGCTGGATAGGAGCTCGGTGTTGTAGAGGTTGTTTTGTAGTGTTTTGTTTTTGTTTGGAATCCTTTGCTATTGCTTGTACTTGTTACTCTATCTGTGTTATATTGTGTTCCCTTCCATATTTTTGTGCAAGTGGAGCCAGGGGCTCTCTTGGAAACAGCCTCCCTACTTCCGAGTAGGGGCAAGGTCTGCGTACACACACCCTCCCCAGTCCTACCGTTGTGGGATTCACCTGGGTTGTTGTTGTTGTATAATCATTTCATTTTTGTTTTATTATAAAATTTGATGCATTTTTTTAAATATTCCCCCCATCGTTAGATTTTCTTCTCATTAGTATTTTAATTAGTTGACTCCCTACTTCCGAGTAGGGGCAAGGTCTGCGTACACACACCCTCCCAGACCCTACTGTTGTGGGATTCAACTGGGTTGTTGTTGTTGTTGTAGTATTTTAATTGAGAGAAGTACTGTCACAACACTAATATATACATATATATATATATATATATATATATATATATATATATATATATATATATATATACTTAAAATATCCAATATAGCACTACTATGGGATATTGGAACTCGTTTGGTGCAATTCTAAATTTGCCCTTGCATTTCACATTGTCAAAAAATATGTTTAAGTTGGTATACACTACCAGAACATGCGCATAACACATTGTCGAAATCGTCATACCCAATATAACATATATCCACATTGTCAAAGCATGATCATTCCACTCTACCAAAAATGTGTTTAATTAGTATACACTTCCAGAACATGAGCATAACATACTGGCAGAAAGTGTAGTTAACTATTTTGAACAATAACAAATTGTTCAAAAAATGGGCATAACACACTGCCAAAAAGTGTAGTTAAATATTGTGAATGATAGCACACTGCTCAAAATATGGGAATAACACACTGCTAGAAAGTGTAGCCATAACATAACCATTCCACACTGCCAAAAAAGTTGATATACAATTCCATTTTCATTTATTAAATGTGTTTAAGCAGTGAGGAGTAGCACGATGGTTCTAAGTGTTACGTACAAGAAATGAGAATAACCTTCTGAAATTATGAATTTCAATAAATATGGTAAATGAAATAATTAAAATCCAGCATTATAATAAAAAGGTATGATTGGAAGAGACTTACACCATAAATAGCCAAATGTGTGAAAAACAATAAGCAGTGCTATATGTATAATATTAGGTGTCTTAGAGTGCTAGATATGGTGATTTCTAATTTTAATTCGTGTCATCAGTTTATCCAATAATAGTTTTTGAGAAGATTTCATCAAAGTTATTTGATGCGTCAAATCCCATGAGAGCATGAGAGCCCAAAATAGGAGTTTACACTATCAGTGTTATACTGCCACACTCACATTGTAACTGCCACACCATCACCGCCACACTGTTTTCTGTCGCCGCCGGCCGCCAGAGTACCGTTGCATATTGCTGATAGTTGACCGATCACGCCGAGGTCTGTTAACGCGTACTCTTACACCACAATACCACTATACTGTTATTTTGGTCTTAAAAGAAATAAGACTCCTACTTTGATATTTTCAAACTTTTTTCTCTTATCTAGGAAGATTTTTATAAATCATATGAAGACTAATTGTAAAAAAGATATATCCATAAAAAAGAAATATGAGGATATTGGTAGGAATTGAGCTGTTGTGGATATCTGTTCATGTTGGCTGGTTTGAAAGGCTACTTTCGTTGGCTGCTTTAACCAATCAATTATTTTGGCCGTTGATAAAAATTATTTGGCAAACTTAGCTTTTTTAAAATCGATTTTATAAATTAAATCAAATTTAATAAAATTTTAACCTATATAATTATGGTCTTGTTTGGCTGTTGGTTGTCAGCTGTTGGCTGTTTGTATCGGCTGTTCTAAATAGCTGTTTAATTTAGCTGTTTGACTAGCAAGATGAGTTGGCTAATCGTTAAAATTTTTTGGTAAAATTAATTGTTTAAAAATAGGTGTTTCGACACACACACATATATACATACATACATACATACATACATACATACATACATACATATATATATATATATATATATACACACACACACACACAGACTTGTACACATGATATTTGTTTTTTATTTTTGTACATGTAAAAATTAAATACGGAGTAGTTAATACGTGGAGTATAAAATGTTTAATTCATAAGAAATTATTAACATATAACTTTTTAATGATTTTTATTTTTGATTTTCTCATATCATTTTTTTTTTAAATTAAAAGGTTAAAATTTATTTTTTTTATTTCTAATTTTTTAAAACTTTTATTTTAATTTTTTTTACCTATATTATAAAATATCTTTCAAGAAAAATATTTTTTCTAAATGCCAAGTTCAAAAGCTACTCTCCTTGGCTTTTCGGATGAAAAAGCAAAGTGAAAAAGCCATTAGCCACACAATGGTTTTGGCGGTTCGATAAGTCAAACAAGCCAAAGTCAGTCAAAAATGCCAAAAGTTATTCGAAAAATTGTTTTCCAAACACAACCTATATGGTATAACATGCTTTGCAATATATGTTCTTTTTTTCCTGAAATAAAATATGGGGATAATGGCCCTCTTTGAAATTTAGCTGTTGGCGGACTGTTCGTGTTGGCTGGTTTGAAAGGCTAGTTAAGTTGGCTGCTTTGACCAGTCAATTATATTGGCCCTTGATAAAAATTATTTGGCAAACTTAGCTTTTCTAAAATAGCTTTTATAAATTAAATTAAATTTAATAAAATTTTCACTTATATACTTATATGGTATAACATGCTTTGCAATATATATTCACTAGAATTTTGACCCGTGCCATGCACGGGGTTGGAAGAAATTTTTGTCAATTCTGAATTATTTCAATTAAATTTATTTTTTGGAATAAAGAAAATATATTGCTCACATGATTTTTAATACTACAAATGAAAAAAACCAAAGTAATATAAATAATATTTGAGGAACAGAATATAAAGTTAACAATGTTTATTTTAATACCAAATTTTCTGAAAGACTTCAGGGTATACAACATTTTTGGTATGGTTGCAAGGGTTTCCATTGTCATCTAGAACTAATATTTTTAATCATGTCTTTGTTGTCACTCGTGAAACAGTAAAATATATTTGACCGTGTGTGAACACTAACTTGGTTAAAACTAATCTCACAAATGACAATGTTTGACTTTGACTTTTGTTGATAGTCATAGCAAAACATGAGGCGATCGGGAATTGTCTTCTTTGGAACTTCAAGGGTAGCCCTGGATTAGATGCTACCAAATTCCTTCTAGGGATGTAAAATTTTTCCCCGACTCGATTTTCTGAAACCACAATTGCACCGATAACATTATTTTACAGCTCTTGAACGATTAATCTTGTCCCATTATACAATCCAGATGTTTGGTCAATGTTCCTCAATAGCATAATCGGTATCCCTTCTTTCAAGACTATTTTGTGGTTTGACATTCCCAAACATTTGATTTCATTCAAAAACTCAAATGTTATCCAATCGACATCACTACCTACATCTTCTTCTGCTTGGCACGAAGAATCAGAACTCAAGTACTCCTTTTCATCGCCAAGAATGAGGGACAGAACAAATTCATTTATCATTTCAACTACTTCGAGAGTTGGTGCCAATAGTGCTTTATCCTCAAAAAAAAGAATAATTTTTCATATTCTCAAACATAAGTCATTTCGCAATATAAGACTTAAACTTTTTCAAATTTTTCATTTTTCAAATTTTTCATTTTTCATTTTTCAAAATTTTCATTTTTCAAACTTTTTCCCTATATATTTTTTCAAATTTTTCATTTTTCATATCTGCACTAAATAGCACTAAAACAAAGGTCATTATTTCCCAATATAAGACTTAGGGGCTGTTTGTTTTAGCCTCTTAATGGTTCAGATATTTGTCTCTAAAGAGTTAAATATTATACAGAGTCTGAATGGTTAAGACCTTTTATCTGAATTGATCAGACATTTGCCTCTGAATAGTTAACCAATATAATAGCTCTTAATGGTTCAGACCTCTTACTGGTTCAGCACTTATCTATTCAGAAGTTGCCAAACAGCCCCTTAAACTTTTTATCCCTTAAATAACACTTAATAATGTCTAGAAGGAGAAATAATATCTTGTGACAGTGAACATTTATCTAAATAATGACTAAAAGTACTACATTAGGAAATAAAAAACATATGTTGCTATTTAGGGAAAGTCATTATGTTTTAGTGTGATCCTCTGACTATGAATATATATATATGGAGTATTAATTATTTCAGTTAAACACAACTTAGTTGCCATTTTGATAAATGAATTACGTGTTAGATATAAGTTTATTTTCCAATTTAAAATTTATATTTTAACTTTGAATTATTTACATTGATCATTCTGTATCAATGCCTAAATATTTTTCCCTTGCATGCATATCATTTTATTTTAAAATATGTATGCACATTTTTTTATATTCACCAATTTCATATCAAATTTATTGCAAAGTTTTGAATTTTTTTTTTAAATTTTTAAATATGAATATATTTTTACTCAACTTTGTTAATATTCATCCATTCAATTGTTTAAAATATTCAATATGTATAAACTATTTTTTTCACAAAAAATATAGAAAAATGAAATTAAAGAGTCATGGTTAGACACCATTTTATTCCTATTGATGTAAATATAAAATTGATAAAAAATAATCAGTGAGCATACCTAGATAAATCAATAATAATACATTTTAATTATCCATGATTTCTGTAAAACCTATGAACGAACTTTAATTTTTTACGGATGCAGATTATAATTGATAAAATAACATGACTATAATAAAAAAAAGTACACATATTTTTTATTTTTTCTTGGAGTGTTCATTTTCACATGGAGAATTTGTTAAATCCTTCTAAAATTGACATCTAATTTTAAATTTTGTATTAAACTTTATTTATTTAACATAAATTAATTTATCTATACTAACGATTTAGAGATGAAGATAAGAAAATTTTTCAATGCTCATTAAAAAGCAACCATATAAATTTTAAATACAAAAATTCCGGTCACTAAAATATCCCCTTTGATTTTGTTATATTAAAAAATTCAAAAATGTTATGTATCAAATTACCTTAAAACAATAAAACAAAATTAAATATATTAAGATAAAACAATATTTAAAGTACGTACCTTTTCTATCTTTTTTTGTTGA